AATTCTTTAAATGAAAAGCTCCGTCGGAACTAGTTTCTTGGATCTTCCTGGTACTACCCCCTACCCCCTACTTGTCCCCAGGATCGCTGCTTAGTTCTCCTTATTCTCTTGCCTATACTGGTTGATCTATCTCCTTGCGCTGAGTGCAAAAACACCCTACCTCCTTACCTTGCCTCAATCAACTACCTACCTCCCGTCTCTTCATACCCCCCACCCCTACATATCTCTCTCCCCACCCCTCTAGACCCACCATTTCTTACCTACAGATTCCCTCCTTCCTTGGTATATCCCCCAACCTGCTTCCCGCTCCAAGCAAACCCCCTGCTCGAGCTCCCTCCCTCTACATCTCCCTCCCTTCCCTATCTTCGGCTCTTCTTCAATCAAGATCTTCATAGCTCTCCTACTTGCATTTGCGATCAGAAAGACTCTTCCTCCTCCATGTCTGCTCCGAGCAGCTCCGAAACTCTGGCTGTGATGCCAATGAAACGGAAGTACGAGTTCCTGCAGGAGGTCTGCAGCGAGGATGCTGCGAGGTACCTGATCCTTGCATGTGCTGGTATGAGAAGCTCACTGACGCGCGCTCGCAGCATATGGGATCAGACGTGCGGAGACTCTGGTAAGATGACAGACCTCCTCAGCCAGCGCTTTGTGGACTGCAACACATGCTCCTCTCAGCAGCATATCGACGACGACGACGAGGACGAGGAGGAGGAGTCAGGCCGCGAGTACTTCTGCGTGATCTGCCAGGAGACAGACTTTGACATGAGCAACAAGGTGAGCTTGACCTGCCGTCACATGTTCCATGCCTCTTGCTTCAAGAGGCTGCTTGAGCACGTCCTCCATGACGAGCAAGAGTCCCTGGTGCCCCCTACCTGCCCTCATGCCGGATGCAGCACCATAGTCGGCTACAACATCCAAGCTCTGCTCCTCATCTACGCTGACGATGAGCAAGCGCAGCGTCTGCTCAAGGCTCACGATAGCAAGAAGAGCAAGTACGACGCTTGGAAGTTGGGTCACCTGCCCTGCTTGTCCCCTTGCTGCCAGGCCGTCTCGAGGCTGGTGTTGATTGGACATGCGGCGAGCGAGGCTACGGTCAAGTGCGACAGCTGCATGGCCACCTACTGCGCTGCTTGCTCGATGGCGTCCGGAAGCTTGGTTCCCTCCCACATTCTCGTCGACTGCGAGCAGCGAGTCCTGACTGAGGAGGGGTTGCGAGCTCTCGATCAGGTGTACGATGCGACGGGTGATGAGCTGAGACGAATGAGACTGCGCGACCCTCCCGCAGCGCTCAGACGGTACCCTCGTCCGCCGCCCGCCGCCCGCGACCCTCGCCCGCCCACAGTTGACGGCAGTCAAACGCATGTGGCGGCAGCAGACACGAGGACGCAGGAGGTCGAGGCGCAAGGGACCGAGCAGGCAGACAGAGACACTGAAGCCCAGCAAGACCCCCGGCTGCGAGCACGACTACTTTGGATGGATCTGTACAGGGGGGAAGACCGACTGGAGGACGAGGAACGCCTTGAGCTCCATGAACACGTGCGCTGGAGGATGAGGAGATTTGAGGAGGAAGGCGACTACGTGGACGAGGAGCTGCAGCAGACTATGCAAGGCATGCGAGACCGGCTCAGCAACATCAAGAGGAGGGAGGAGCTAGAGATCTCCGCCATTTCCCGGCAGCTCCATGCTCGTCCTGCCGACAAGGTCGCCGTCGAACTGCTCGATGCGCGTCTGCGGATCGTCGAGCAGAAGCGTGAGCTGTTCGACAGCACGCGACAGACGCTCGAGGGCATGATCCGCAACCCGGCGGTAGAGGACCCGCAGCACCATGCTCCGCCGGAGGCGACGACGTCGCTGAGCCTTCAAGACATCCACAGCATGTGCGATAAAGCTTTTCTCACCTCCCTGAAGGCGAGGATTAGCAGGATCGCCAGCGGCGAAGAGCGCGAGGAGGCCCGAGCAGAGGCTCCCAGTGACCAGGAGGAGATCGCAAGGACCTCCAAGCCCTGTACCAAGTGCGGGTATCGCATCGTCAAGACGGGAGGATGCGACCACATGACGTGCAGGAAGTGCCGGCACGAGTTCTGCTGGAGGTGCCTCAAACCAACGATCGACCACTTCCACAGCAGCTGTCAGGGGAAGCCAGACCTGCTGTCGTTCTCTGAGGAGCTACAGCCTGCCATCAAGGACGTCATCGACAAGTACCGCGGAGTCGAGTCGCCTATCGAGAGCAGCCTAGTCGAGTACGCGCACAGGCACTTGGCTCCCGGCCAGCCTGTCGACGAGGACAGGAAGAGAGCGGACTCGCAGCGGATCTCCGCAATGCTGGAGCGGCGCGAGCCCTTCATGCTCAGATACTTCGACCCCCGCGAGGTCAGACGCAGAGCGGAGATGAGGAGACTGCAGGATATGCAGCGGGAGGTTGAGCAAGAGAGGATCGCCTGCTCCTTTGTGCTCCGTCAAGTCCGCGACAGCAGTCGCAGCCCCATCAGCAAGGACGCAGCCCTCCGAGTCTGCTCGGACCCCTCCAAGCAGTACCTCAAGTACCGGGCCGCCAAGCGCAGCCTCTTGGACGCGCAGGAGAAGATGAGGAGGGAGACACGTGAAGCCCCGGCTGACTACGTCGAGCGTCAGCGCCGCATGATCGACTGTCAGTGCCACGTCATCGACGTGGATCTTGCTCGCCTGGAGATGCAGAAGCAAGCTTGCGTCCTCATGGGCATGGACGTGCCTCCCTGGCTCCTGTCATGCTCCGAGCGGCTCTCAGATGCCAAGGAGCAGCAGGCGCAAGACATCAGCCAGGCTGTCTGCACCAGGACCTTTCTGGACGCTCATCGAGACTACATGCTCTCGAGGATGAGCCAACGAGTAGAGCCGAGAGTCCTAGAATGGTGACCGTCGGACCGAGCGACAAGGCAGCGAGACTAGGAGAGCAGCAGAGCTCTGCAGGACTTTGAGGACGAGCGGTCAGGGACAGTAGTACCCCGAGCCTGCAAGGTTGGAAGTCATCTTTGAGCTCTTAACGTGACTGCGCTACTCAATACATAGAGAAACAAGTTGAATGAGGCCTGAGAGGAGGGGCCGCTGACTCTATTCAGCCATCATGGCAGCAGCGAACTGACACAGTCTGAGCCATCTGAGCCTGAAGAGAAACTAACAAGGATCCCCCTAGTGACGGCGAGTGAAGCGGGAAGACTCAGAGGCTCAAGCAGAGACTCATGATTCGGAGCCACGGTTGAGGCGGCGGGAGGCGCGCGGTCCGGGGATCGGACTTTGGCAGCGGCCGGTGCCGGGCCGGTGACCGTTGAACGCCACCGGGTACTCCCTCCTAGGCTCCAGCCGTCGCCGTTCCTTAAGTTACTCAAAGTTAAGTTGAACTTGAATCAGTACGATACTGTCACACTGGCCAAATGGCGACAATAGACAAGACAGCGAGAACCAAAAAGTATCCTGCAGGCTGCTGTCCCCCAAACTTAACTGATACCTTCACTTAATTGTGCGCAGAACCATTCTCCCGCGCAATGCCGCCAGCGATGTCCGGTGATCGCTGTGCCAGGCGGGCCGACGAGTCAGAGCGGGCGCCGGCGCCGGCCCGGGCCCGAGACCTTCGGAACTTGACTGACCATCCGTACGGAACGGTCGCGGCGGTCCGGGGAAGTTCGGGCCCGGGCCGTCCCGGACTCAGGGCCCGGATTCATGTTGCGGGCGCCCTCGGACACTCAAGTGACTATCAGCCTCAGTAAAATTGAGTAAAGGATCCGAGACAGTGGTGGGTTTAGTTAGGGTTTAAGTTCAGTCCCACAAACAACTTGACCACAAGAGCAAGTTCCACTTGGATCTTCCTGGTACTACCCCCTACCCCCTGCTTGTCCCCAGGATCGCTGCTTCGTTCTCCTTATTCTCTTGCCTATATGTACTGGTTGATCTATCATCTTTTCCCCCTCCATGTCTGCTCCGAGCAGCTCCGAAACTCTGGCTGTGATGCCAATGAAACGGAAGTACGAGTTCCTGCAGGAGGTCTGCAGCGAGGATGCTGCGAGGTACCTGATCCTTGCATGTGCTGGTATGAGAAGCTCACTGACGCGCGCTCGCAGCATATGGGATCAGACGTGCGGAGACTCTGGTAAGATGACAGACCTCCTCAGCCAGCGCTTTGTGGACTGCAACACATGCTCCTCCCAGCAGCATATCGACGACGACGACGAGGACGACGACGACGACGAGGAGTCAGGCCGCGAGTACTTCTGCGTGATCTGCCAGGAGACAGACTTTGACATGAGCAACAAGGTGAGCTTGACCTGCCGTCACATGTTCCATGCCTCTTGCTTCAAGAGGCTGCTTGAGCACGTCCTCCATGACGAGCAAGAGTCCCTGGTGCCCCCTACCTGCCCTCATCCCGGATGCAGCACCATAGTCGGCTACAACATCCAAGCTCTGCTCCTCATCTACGCTGACGATGAGCAAGCGCAGCGTCTGCTCAAGGCTTACGATAGCAAGAAGAGCAAGTACGACGCTTGGAAGTTGGGTCACCTGCCCTGCTTGTCCCCTTGCTGCCAGGCCGTCTCGAGGCTGGTGTTGATTGGACATGCGGCGAGCGAGGCTACGGTCAAGTGCGACAGCTGCATGGCCACCTACTGCGCTGCTTGCTCGATGGCGTCCGGAAGCTTGGTTCCCTCCCACATTCTCGTCGACTGCGAGCAGCGAGTCCTGACTGAGGAGGGGTTGCGAGCTCTCGATCAGGTGTACGATGCGACGGGTGATGAGCTGAGACGAATGAGACTGCGCGACCCTCCCGCAGCGCTCAGACGGTACCCTCGCCCGCCGCCCGCCGCCCGCGACCCTCGCCCGCCCACAGTTGACGGCAGTCAAACGCATGTGGCGGCAGCAGACACGAGGACGCAGGAGGTCGAGGCGCAAGGGACCGAGCAGGCAGACAGAGGCGCTGAAGCCCAGCAAGACCCCCGGCTGCGAGCACGACTACTTTGGATGGATCTGTACAGGGGGGAAGACCGACTGGAGGGCGAGGAACGCCTTGAGCTCCATGAACACGTGCGCTGGAGGATGAGGAGATTTGAGGAGGAAGGCGACTACGTGGACGAGGAGCTGCAGCAGACTATGCAAGGCATGCGAGACCGGCTCAGCAACATCAAGAGGAGGGAGGAGCTAGAGATCTCCGCCATTTCCCGGCAGCTCCATGCTCGTCCTGCCGACAAGGTCGCCGTCGAACTGCTCGATGCGCGTCTGCGGATCGTCGAGCAGAAGCGTGGGGCTGTTCGAGAGCACGCGACAGACGCTCGAGGGCATGATCCGCAACCCCGCTGTTCCTGACGTGCCAGGTCGTGCTCCGCCGGAGGCGACGACGTCGCTGAGCCTTCAAGACATCCACAGCATGTGCGATAAAGCTTTTCTCACCTCCCTGAAGGCGAGGATCAGCAGGATCGCCAGCGGCAAAGAGCGCGAGGAGGCCCGAGCAGAGGCTCGCAGTGACCAGGAGGAGATCGCAAGGACCTCCAAGCCCTGCACCAAGTGCGGGTACCGCATCGTCAAGATGGGAGGATGCGACCACATGACGTGCAGGAAGTGCCGGCACGAGTTCTGCTGGAGGTGCCTCAAACCAACGATCGACCACTTCCACAGCAGCTGTCAGGGGAAGCCAGACCTGCTTTCGTTCTCAGAGGAGCTACAGCCTGCCATCAAGGACGTCATCGACAAGTACCGCGGAGTCGAGTCGCCTATCGAGAGCAGCCTAGTCGAGTACGCGCACAGGCACTTGGCTCCCGGCCAGCCTGTCGACGAGGACAGGAAGAGAGCGGACTCGCAGCGGATCTCCGCAATGCTGGAGCGGCGCGAGCCCTTCATGCTCAGATACTTCGACCCCCGCGAGGTCAGACGCAGAGCGGAGATGAGGAGACTGCAGGATATGCAGCGGGAGGTTGAGCAAGAGAGGATTGCCTGCTCCTTTGTGCTCCGTCAAGTCCGTGACAGCAGTCGCAGCCCCATCAGCAAGGACGCAGCCCTCCGAGTCTGCTCGGACCCCTCCAAGCAGTACCTCAAGTACCGGGCCGCCAAGCGCAGCCTCTTGGACGCGCAGGAGAAGATGAGGAGGGAGACACGTGAAGCCCCGGCTGACTACGTCGAGCGTCAGCGCCGCATGATCGACTGTCAGTGCCACGTCATCGACGTGGATCTTGCTCGCCTGGAGATGCAGAAGCAAGCTTGCGTCCTCATGGGCATGGACGTGCCTCCCTGGCTCCTGTCATGCTCCGAGCGGCTCTCAGATGCCAAGGAGCAGCAGGCGCAAGACATCAGCCAGGCTGTCTGCACCAGGACCTTTCTGGACGCTCATCGAGACTACATGCTCTCGAGGATGAGCCAACGAGTAGAGCCGAGAGTCCTAGAATGGTGACCGTCGGACCGAGCGACAAGGCAGCGAGACTAGGAGAGCAGCAGAGCTCTGCAGGACTTTGAGGACGAGCGGTCAGGGACAGTAGTACCCCGAGCCTGCAAGGTTGGAAGTCATCTTTGAGCTCTTAACGTGACTGCGCTACTCAATACATAGAGAAACAAGTTGAATGAGGCCTGAGAGGAGGGGCCGCTGACTCTATTCAGCCATCATGGCAGCAGCGAACTGACACAGTCTGAGCCATCTGAGCCTGAAGAGAAACTAACAAGGATCCCCCCAGTAACGGCGAGTGAAGCGGGAAGACTCAGAGGCTCAAGCAGAGACTCATGATTGTCGGAGCCACGGTTGAGGCGGCGGGAGGCGGGCGCGCGGTCCGGGGATCGGACTTTGGCACCGTACTGTACTACGGTACCCAGTGACGGTACGGTAGCCAGTGCGGCGGAGTCCCGGGGGCGGCCTGCCCGCCGCGGCCCGGGGAGTTGCCCAGCCGGGCCGGTGACCGGCGTCACAGTCACTACGCCGCCGGGCCCCGGCGGCGTACAATAGTCCCTCCTAGGCTCCAGCGGTCGCCGTTTCTTAAGTTACTATACTCGAAGTTAAGTTAATCATCAGTACGATGATGTTGATTATGCGAAGAACCATTCCGAGGCTCCCGCGCAATGCCAGCGATGTCCAGTGATCGCTGTGCCAGGCGAGCCGACGAGTCAGAGCGGGCGGCGGCCCGGCCCGGGAACTTGAACCGTCAAGGTCCGTACGGCGTCCGGTCACCGTCCGACTTCGCGGCCGGCCGGGTTCCGGGCCGAGGGGATCTTCGGAACTTAGTTCGGCGCCGGGGCCCGGGCCGTCCCGGACTCAGGGCCCGGATTCATGTTGCGGGCGCCCTCGGACACTCAAGTGACTATCAGCCTTAAACTTGAGTAAAGGATCCGAGACGGTGGTGGGTTTAGTTAGGGTTCAAGTTCAGTCCCACAAACAACTTGACCACAAGAGCAAGTTCCACTTGGATCTTCCTGGTACTACCCCCTACCCCCTACTTGTCCCCAGGAACGCTCCTTCGTTCTCCTTATTCTCTTGCCTATATATACCTGTGGAAACATCACCTTGCGCTGACTGCAAAAATACCCTACCTCCTTACCTTGCCTCAATCAACTACCTACCTCCCGTCTCTTCATACCCCCCACCCCTACATATCTCTCTCCCCACCCCTCTAGACCCACCATTTCTTACCTACAGTTTCCCTTGGTATATCTCCCAACCTGCTTCCCGCTCCAAGCAAACCCCCTGCTCGAGCTCCCTCCCTCTACATCTCCCTCCCTTCCCTATCTTCGGCTCTTCTTCAATCAAGATCTTCATAGCTCTCCTACTTGCATTTGCGATCAGAAAGCCTCTTCCTCCTCCATGTCTGCTCCGAGCAGCTCCGAAACTCTGGCTGTGATGCCAATGAAACGGAAGTACGAGTTCCTGCAGGAGGTCTGCAGCGAGGATGCTGCGAGGTACCTGATCCTTGCATGTGCTGGTATGAGAAGCTCACTGACGCGCGCTCGCAGCATATGGGATCAGACGTGCGGAGACTCTGGTAAGATGACAGACCTCCTCAGCCAGCGCTTTGTGGACTGCAACACATGCTCCTCTCAGCAGCATATCGACGACGACGACGAGGACGAGGAGGAGGAGTCAGGCCGCGAGTACTTCTGCGTGATCTGCCAGGAGACAGACTTTGACATGAGCAACAAGGTGAGCTTGACCTGCCGTCACATGTTCCATGCCTCTTGCTTCAAGAGGCTGCTGGAGCACGTCCTCCATGACGAGCAAGAGTCCCTGGTGCCCCCTACCTGCCCTCATCCCGGATGCAGCACCATAGTCGGCTACAACATCCAAGCTCTGCTCCTCATCTACGCTGACGATGAGCAAGCGCAGCGTCTGCTCAAGGCTTACCATAGCAAGAAGAGCAAGTACGACGCTTGGAAGTTGGGTCACCTGCCCTGCTTGTCCCCTTGCTGCCAGGCCGTCTCGAGGCTGGTGTTGATTGGACATGCGGCGAGCGAGGCTACGGTCAAGTGCGACAGCTGCATGGCCACCTACTGCGCTGCTTGCTCGATGGCGTCCGGAAGCTTGGTTCCCTCCCACATTCTCGTCGACTGCGAGCAGCGAGTCCTGACTGAGGAGGGGTTGCGAGCTCTCGATCAGGTGTACGATGCGACGGGTGATGAGCTGAGACGAATGAGACTGCGCGACCCTCCCGCAGCGCTCAGACGGTACCCTCGCCCGCCGCCCGCCGCCCGCGACCCTCGCCCGCCCACAGTTGACGGCAGTCAAACGCATGTGGCGGCAGCAGACTCGAGGACGCAGGAGGTCGAGGCGCAAGGGACCGAGCAGGAAGACAGAGGCGCTGAAGCCCAGCAAGACCCCCGGCTGCGAGCACGACTACTTTGGATGGATCTGTACAGGGGGGAAGACCGACTGGAGGGCGAGGAACGCCTTGAGCTCCATGAACACGTGCGCTGGAGGATGAGGAGATTTGAGGAGGAAGGCGACTACGTGGACGAGGAGCTGCAGCAGACTATGCAAGGCATGCGAGACCGGCTCAGCAGCATCAAGAGGAGGGAGGAGCTAGAGATCTCCGCCATTTCCCGGCAGCTCCATGCTCGTCCTGCCGACAAGGTCGCCGTCGAACTGCTCGATGCGCGTCTGCGGATCGTCGAGCAGAAGCGTGAGCTGTTCGAGAGCACGCGACAGACGCTCGAGGGCATGATCCGCAACCCGGCGGTAGAGGACCCGCAGCACCATGCTCCGCCGGAGGCGACGACGTCGCTGAGCCTTCAAGACATCCACAGCATGTGCGATAAAGCTTTTCTCACCTCCCTGAAGGCGAGGATCAGCAGGATCGCCAGCGGCAAAGAGCGCGAGGAGGCCCGAGCAGAGGCTCGCAGTGACCAGGAGGAGATCGCAAGGACCTCCAAGCCCTGCACCAAGTGCGGGTACCGCATCGTCAAGATGGGAGGATGCGACCACATGACGTGCAGGAAGTGCCGGCACGAGTTCTGCTGGAGGTGCCTCAAACCAACGATCGACCACTTCCACAGCAGCTGTCAGGGGAAGCCAGACCTGCTGTCGTTCTCAGAGGAGCTACAGCCTGCCATCAAGGACGTCATCGACAAGTACCGCGGAGTCGAGTCGCCTATCGAGAGCAGCCTAGTCGAGTACGCGCACAGGCACTTGGCTCCCGGCCAGCCTGTCGACGAGGACAGGAAGAGAGCGGACTCGCAGCGGATCTCCGCAATGCTGGAGCGGCGCGAGCCCTTCATGCTCAGATACTTCGACCCCCGCGAGGTCAGACGCAGAGCGGAGATGAGGAGACTGCAGGATATGCAGCGGGAGGTTGAGCAAGAGAGGATTGCCTGCTCCTTTGTGCTCCGTCAAGTCCGCGACAGCAGTCGCAGCCCCATCAGCAAGGACGCAGCCCTCCGAGTCTGCTCGGACCCCTCCAAGCAGTACCTCAAGTACCGGGCCGCCAAGCGCAGCCTCTTGGACGCGCAGGAGAAGATGAGGAGGGAGACACGTGAAGCCCCGGTTGACTACGTCGAGCGTCAGCGCCGCATGATCGACTGTCAGTGCCACGTCATCGACGTGGATCTTGCTCGCCTGGAGATGCAGAAGCAAGCTTGCGTCCTCATGGGCATGGACGTGCCTCCCTGGCTCCTGTCATGCTCCGAGCGGCTCTCAGATGCCAAGGAGCAGCAGGCGCAAGACATCAGCCAGGCTGTCTGCACCAGGACCTTTCTGGACGCTCATCGAGACTACATGCTCTCGAGGATGAGCCAACGTGTAGAGCCGAGAGTCCTAGAATGGTGACCGTCGGACCGAGCGACAAGGCAGCGAGACTAGGAGAGCAGCAGAGCTCTGCAGGACTTTGAGGACGAGCGGTCAGGGACAGTAGTGCCCCGAGCCTGCAAGGTTGGAAGTCATCTTTTGAGCTCTTAACGTGACTGCGCTACTCAATACATAGAGAAACAAGTTGAATGAGGCCTGAGGGGAGGGGCCGCTGACTCTATTCAGCCATCATGGCAGCAGCGAACTGAAAGAGTTTGAGCCGTCTGAGCCTGAAGAGAAACTAACAAGGATCCCCCCAGTAACGGCGACGAATTGTCCCCCGCCCGGTCCCAGCCAAGACTC